GATCTGGCTAATCTACATGCCTCCGTCGAAGGAGGCATGTAGTCTAGACACACCCTTTGTTTCTTTTTTGGGGATATCATGATAAACAATTACCAAACTTTGGTTAGACTGCTGAAAATTGACTGCTGCTTAGTAGTAGGGATATAAATATGCAGTAAAAAAGTTAACTGGTTAAATGATTTAATGGTAATCCTTTAACTGGTTAACCGTGTGAGTGGGGTATCATGACTGACACTCCTACCCAGCCCTCCACAGGCAGGGAGGCTGCTCTGGCTGGCAGGGGGACTCCGTGCTGTGGGCGGGGGGCTGCTCCAGCTGGCCAGGGGCTGCTGTGCTGAGTGGGGGCAGGGACTGCTCTGGCCCACCTAGAGTGGTAGGCGGGCTGCTCCCCCTGCCCTGGCCCTCTGGTTAACCAGTAAGCATACTGGTAAGGCTAATGCTTACTGGGTAACTGGGTAACCTTTTACATCCCTACTCAATAGTTAAAGAAGCACATGTTTAGAAATTCATCCACTACTGTGTTTCCTCTCTTATCACAATTATTCTCAAGAAAGCTGTCTCATATAACACCCAAAAACACACCCTGTAGTCTCTTTGGAAAATTCAGATCTTTTTGTTCTGTTTGTATAGCTTCTGCCACACTGGGCTTCTGGTGTATGATTGGTGCTCCTAGGTGAGTGCTATAGTGGTGATGGGAGTCTACTATATATTTGAGAGTTTGTCTGTCTGTCTGTCTGTTCAATACTCCTCCTAAACTATAAGGGTACGTCTAGACTACAGGGTTTTGTCAACGGAAGTTTTGTCGACAGATACTGTCGACAAAACTTCTGTCGACATAGAGCGTCTAGACACATTCAGTTCTGTCGACAAAGCAAGCTGCTTTGTCGACAAAACCCTGTAGTCTAGACGCAACCCTACAGGCAATAACACCTTCTGTCGACAGAACTCTGTCGACAGAAGGTGTTATGCCTCGTAAAATGAGGTTTACCAGCGTCGACAAAACTGCTGAGTTCTGTCGACGTTATGTCGACAGAACTCAGCGGTAGTGTATACACAGGTATAGTTTTGTCGACAACAGTCCACTTTTGTCGACAAAACTCAGTAGTCTAGACACACCCTAAGAGTTAGGGCCACCAAATTCACAGCTGCCTCTTATCATAACTTAAAGTATGGTCAGGGTTTGATTGTGCCAGGAAAATGGTATGTGCCTGGAATGAGATTGCTTCTCAGAAAACCCTACAGAAAAGAGAATCACCAGGCAGGTGAAAAAAGGGTGGCCTTTGCTCCCCCACCAGGACTGCTGTAAACCTGAGCCTCTTGCCCCCTAGGTGCCCTTCGGGGGGGAGGGGCTGAAGTTCTTCCCCCTCCCCCCAGATTCATATGGGGACATTGCTGGCTGTTCCCTTTCATCACGAAGTGAGTGAGAAGAAAGTGCAGTTTGCTACATTCCTCACTCTTGCTGGGGAGTTCAGGGGGCCGATGAACCTGCACCTGCCCCAAGCAAGGGACATGCATCCCTCTTCTGGCTGAACCCACTGGAGCTGCAGCAGCCACGGACAGGAGCTTCTCACCTGGCCCAATTTGCTGTGGTGAGAGAGAGCTGGGTTAGTCGTCTCTCCTGGGGACAGCTCTCATACTGAACCCCTCATCCCCAACCCCACACTAGAGCAATGATCCAATGAAGCATGTACGTTTTCATTTTATTTTTCAAAAGACAAAAATTAGTTGAGTTAAGGACTAGGGATATGATAATATAATCGATTAAACAATTAACCAATAAGTGGGTGCTTATTGGTTAACGCTATCGGCTACATGTAACCGTGCTCCCTCCACCCCCATCAACCCTCGCTGCAGCTCTTCATTAATACTATTAATACTATTATTGCAGAGCCGCAGCGGGGGTTGATGCCGGGATCCGGCAGGATTCAGGACTGAGCAACCTGCCTGTGCACCACCTCCTGAATTGCTTCTACTGCAGAGCCGCGGTGGGGGACAAATTTTGTTGACTGCACAATTAACAAATTACATGCTTCTTAACATCCCTATTAAGGACCTGAGCAACGCTGGAAAAAAATCTAGTAATTAATAATAATAATAATAATAATAGTGCTAATTCAGAGAGGTGTAGGAGGAGCAGCTCAGCACCTCACACTGTTCCATGCAGTCCTCTCCCTTGGAATGCCCATGCTTGTAGCCAAGTATTAGAATTCTCACTGGCTTGTTCATATTGCGTGCCTTTTGGATTTTGATTACCACATCCTCATCACCTTTTTCCTCCCTTTCTTATTCTCTTCTGAGCCACAGTAATCTGCCAAGGTCTCCAATGTTCTTTTCAATCCATTCTTTCAGTTTATCGTTACTCTTCTGATTCCACTTGTCGGCATCTTCCAAACCATGCATGTACCTCGCTA